ACCTGATTCATTTCTCCTAATCACCTGGAACAAGCTGCTAGAACACGCTCTATATAAACTCAAGGAAGGCATACCCCTGGTCCACATCTTATACAATTCCCACGAAAATGACTCTCTTTCCACTCATGAAATTTTCTCGAGGTGATCAAACCACAAGCATACTATTGTGCATTTCCACATTTGTTGCGGATACCACAGACATTCGGTTTCCCCCACTGGGTCGTCCTCTGAACCCTGCAATCATATGTCGGTCCCTACTTTCCCCACCATAGGAAACTAGAAGAACACAATCCTCGTCATAGAAAATAACATCATAATCCATCGGCTTGCCACTCAACCTCAAGGTTGAAATCCTCAAGCCGCTCATTCCAATCGTTCCGTTCTTGAGTATCGCGACTCTGATTGCCACTTCCTCAAGTAAGGCACCCAAGATCTTGAAATTAACTAATCATCTAGGTCTGCACCATTCAACTCCAACTGACATGGCCACTAAGGCTCAAATAATCACACGACTCGTCTTCTTCTCGGACCGCCATACCCGAAAAGCTGATAATACCTAAAATGATACAACAGATTCATGGTGCCAAACCATGTTCCTACCCTCAACCAGCTCCTTATAATTTTCGGGACTTTCGTTTATTCGAGTACGGATCATGTGTTTCCAGTAATACGAGCCCAATACTACCTTCCACACCTATCTGTACTTTCCTCAGAATCATCCCGAATCCTCTAAGTCACTTCCTCATAATGATACCCTTTAAAATCTGCTAAATAGTGCATCACTCACACTAAAGCGCTTCCTAGGCTCTCCTAGGATTACCACCTCACCATGTCATCGACTGCTGAAGGACCTCTACTAATGTTAGTTAACTACTTCACAAATACAATTACATGCAGCAAAGCTTAGATAAGCCTCCGACTAAAAGAATCAACGTTATAACGGCTAGACTCAAACGAGAGTTATGCAATTAGGCCAAGTCAACCACTCTAAGATTATTTAACCCTCAGTGCATGTAACTTAACATATTCCTGCGATAGCTAAATTACATCAAAATGAGTCCTACAAAGCAGAAAGCAAGCTGTATCCAGGCATCTAGCACTAAAAGCATCACATAAACAGGCAATCCTACCTCAGAAGCCCTTGAAGATCTCTAATCATTAGCATACATCACTGCCAGCTCACACAAAGGCATAAATGCATCTCTCCTAATCAGGCATCCTACCATGCAACACTGAGCAGACCCTTAGCCCTAACCTAGCATGCAATTCTCATATACTCACATCAAACATCAAACATATAATACGCATGGGTATTTTGGGAAATACTTACTTGAGCTCAGCTGATTGCACGCATCACATCCCATTTCTTTTTTTTAAATACTTTCTTAGAAAATCAATTTCTTTTAGAAAATTCTACCAAATCCTCAGTTTGAGTTCAAGCACACACGAGAGTATGCCTGAATCCTTCAAACCAAGGCTCTAATATGAACTTGTAATGCCCCAAATTTCAACCCAAAATTTTCGATTAAAACTTTAAGTATATTTAAATCACAAATGTAAGATCTTTGAACATTTATCAGAGTAGCATTAAAAGTTATCAAGTACAAATCGTAAGCACAAAGCTTAGTAAGTTCCCTAAAATACCACACACAGCACAACACAGATAAACAACTATGGGTTATCAGCAACCCTGGGGACTATCAGCAGTCCTAGTGGGCAAACAGGACGCCCGTTGGGTTATCAGCAACCCTAAAGACTATCAGTAGTCTCACTAGGCTAACAGCACGCCCGGTGGGTTATCAACAACCCTACAGACTATTAGCAGTCTCAATCACATATAAACATAATAACACAATAATAACTGCTAGACCTAGCTGGTCATCATAGATACAACTATTCTACCACACGGGCTCATAGAAACATGTAAGAGTCACAAAGACAGCTATCATCCTACATATATAATTTAGTGAGTCGGCATTGGTGTCTTCGACTCACGAGCACCGAAAGAAAACGCACTTAAATCAAAGAACCCTGAAACACTACGACATGATCCTTTTTCTACACTGCTCGAACCCGCGAATCCACTAATACTAGAACCAGATAAAATCTTAATTAATAACCAAAAATCCTTCAAGTTTGACCTAAGGTCAAACTTGGTAAAAATTCAACGGTCAACGGAAGTCAAGGTCAACAAGTCAACTTCAGACAGAGTACGCCCAGAGTACTCAGCTCGTATGCATGGCGTACTCACCGTCCAGAAGCGGGACCCCATATGAGTACGTGCAACGTACTCGAAGGTATGCCCCACGTACTCGGCCAAATGGCACTTTTCCATTAAGTGCTTAATCTCTTAATTCCTTTCATACAACATTCAGATCTAATCCCATAAGATCATTCTAAGTCATATAGTTTCCACCTTTATGACTTTTTACGTCTAGGAAAGGTCCAAAAGCCAAAACCTTAACTTTTTAATCCATTAAAACATCATGACACTTTCAAGGAAAGAATAGAAGGATCAAGAACACATTTTTATGAATCCCAATACCTCCATAATGGATAAAGTTTCCAACTTTATCCATTATAATGGTCCAAACAAACAAGATCTAGCTATTATGTATCAAAAGGACCAAAAAATGCAACTTTTTCAACTTAATCCATTAAGACCATGTCTCCAACGTTCAGATCTGAATTACAATGATGTTTAGATGGATAAAGTTTCAAACTTTATCCATAACAAGGTCACAAACTTTCAAGATCTAAACTTTATGCACTAAAATGACCAAAAGTTCATAACATCAAAAAGTAGCTAGAACTAACAAATCTATCATCAAGATTCAAACTTTATACCTCTAGAAGATACATCAAGATGAACAAGGTCTGGATCTACAAGCTCCAATGTAACCAACACTTATCCGGTCCGTTGGGTAGTTTTCTCTGACTTGGTTTTCCGGCGAGCCTATTTTTCAGAAAGGTGAAGCAGATTTGCACAGACGGTTTGTTGAGGTGGTAACCAGCTTCACGTGGGCTGATTTCTTCGTTTTTTATATGAAAAAAGTGACACCTTGTTAGGTGTTTATAGAATGATTTAGCATATGTAATTTTAACCGTTTTATCCAAACACAATAATTTTATCTGTTATATTTTGGCCAAATAATTCTACATATAATCTCCTAATAAAAAAATTATCAACAGTCGAATGTTATAACGAAAACCGCCTTAAATACAACCCATCCCACACGACACTCTCTTACACTTTGCTATGACTTCATTTAAACCCAAGGTAGAGCGTGGACTTTTTTACTAGTTTAAAGTACATATCAAACATCTATCTTTTCTTTGAGTCGATCTAATTACTTTCAGATAACCTAAATATAGAGTGCATATTTCTTTAGTAGATCATACTACAAAATATAGATATACTTTCAAAGTATATCTAGGCTATAACAGATTCCTTAAACGGAATTAAAAAAAAAGTAAACAACTTAATCACCAATGCAAGATTATAGTTCTAACAAATATATTTAATCTATCATGCGATTAACTCATCGTCCATGCAATCCCTCAATTTTAGCATTGCAACCTCCAAGCCATCAATTCCAACCACGTCGCAACATTCGGTTTTCCCATTCTATTACACAACAAACAAAATAAACTAATTAATTTTTTTTAACATTATTAGAAAATATTTAGAATGACTTTAGTTATCAATAGTATATATATATATATATATATATATATATATATATATATATATATATATATATATATATATATAGTAGGTGTAAAACCCGTGTATTACACAGGTTGATTAAAAAAATATATATATTAAAATGTAATAATAAAAAAAATTTAAAATAAAACTTTGAAATAAGAAATTAAGAAACATATTAATTGCAATTTAGTATAATATTTATTGCATTTGATACTTTACATATATAAGTATAACTATTATGTGGCTTTTTAATTTAAAAAATTGAAAAAAACCATAAATTGATATATGAATATTATTTATTGAAAAAATATCACAAAATTACAAATGTCAAAATTCATTAGAGATTGACATGTGGCAAAATTATCTTCATTTATTATATACTAGGTGTGAAACTCATGTATTACATGAGTTTATTTAAAAAAAATTAAATATAAAATTTTACTAATTTGAAAAGTTTGAATTTATAAGAAAAATGAGAAATCTTTTAAATTATTAAAATTGATGAGGCTTTAATGTATTGGATACATTACATATATAAACCTTTCTAATAAATAACTTACATATATATTACCTTACATATTAGATGTGAAATTTTAATTTAATAAAATGAAAAATACAATAAAATGACAAGTGGAAAATAGAAAATTTAAAAATGTTAGAAAATGTCATGTGTCCAAATGAAGGAAAAGAGGACATGTGGCAAAAAAACCTTCATTTATTATAGTATATATATATATTATATATATATATATATATATATCTATATATATATATATATTATATATATATATATATATATAGGAACATTTGGCTCTTGGTAGTTGACTTCAACTTAATATATAGTGATGATTTATTTGCATCTTATAGCTAGCATCCATGCATCTATAAAATGTATTTTTAATGGAACAGTTGAATAATGTGAAATATGTAGTTATCATTTAATGGATTAATCTCAAACCAAAGTGAGTTTTAATGTTGAAATTTATTGTATAGGAAGTTCAAGAAAAAAACTTTTTTAAGTTTAAATTAAATATTTCATTGAACTTTTATAAAGCTCAATACGTTTGTTGAAAAAATGATTTAAGTTGAATGAAAATTAAAATAATTAATGAACTTTGTTTCATGGTAGATGCCTTTATTTAAACATATTAATTGTGAAACTTACTTGGGTCGGTTTTTCATTGGTGAAACAACTTCAATTCTTGAAACGGAATCTGCAGAATTGTTGCCTGCTAATCCACAAGTCGGTAACCCACGTGAAGCCATCCGAGAATAGTTTGTAATGACTTCAATTCCATTGTTCTTCTTTATAGACTGAAAATGTAAACACGTGAGGGGTTGCACATGGATCGTTTGATAGTACTGGTCTTGTGTTGAAGATGTAAAATGGTGGCTTCCAATTCCCCCATGGCCTGAATGTCTCAAGTGGAGTCTTTAAGATGCTACGAGAGGCTATATTCTCATAAATATGAACTGAGTAGCCCCATGAAATTGAAAAAGACCAATTTAATTGTCTGCTGTGGCATATTGTTTGTTGAAGCAAACGAGGTTGATCAACATCGGCTGCTTTCATGAGGTGCTTTAAAGATTCGAAACGATCCATGGAACCAAAAATCGGATCTACATGTTCCAAATGATGAAGGGAAAGCAATGGAGCTTTTGGGTGAGCAGATAAAAAACCTGATGCATCTCCACGTAGATCCATCTGTAAAAAAAAATTATATTTCTTAAAAATCACATGCTTGTTAGATGAGTACAAATAGAATAAAAAATCCTTTTTTTTAATTAAAATCTGCAATTATTTACTATCTATTAATAGCTTGTAATATTGAAAGATCCAAGTACAATACTTACAAACATCGTCCATTTTTGGTTGTGTTAATGTCGTAATATATCATATCAAGTTAATTTATACAAGATTTATACTTGAGTCGATCTTTTCAACGTAGTTCTCAAAATCTAAAATTGAAAATGAAACATATCGGTAGATCTTTAAATAGAACTTTTACTTCAACTACCCAACAAACATATGTATACATACATATATACATATATAATCTGTAATAACACACAAGAAACTAATAATGGCTACCATGGTTATTATATAGTCACATGATAATAGCCTGGTTATTACTCACATGATAATTAAACAAAAAAAGATTGAAATCATATGATCTGCAGCTTTTTAACATAATTATCTACTTTTTATCTTTCTCTTAACAAAAGCATGATTAAATATATAACTATGAATAACGTAAGCATGCCAATATATATTAAATTTAGACGCTAGCTTACGCTAATCTAATTTAACTATTACTATCAAGCATTTCTTGTTTTTTTTGATAACTTTTTGCATTTCATTTTTTGATAAATTGATTAAATTCTGTATTTTTATATTCAATAAATCCATAAATTACCAAATTCATAGAAGCTAGAAGTTTGATGACTGATACCTGATGAAGACCTTGATGAACAGTCAACGAAACGCCAAAATCATTGACACAAGTCATCAAAATTAGATCGGCGCTACGTAAATATGGATATCTCTTAAAACAGTCTTCAATATTTTTTTGCACCATCTTAGCCAAGGGATAACTCATTATAAGTCCCGCTCCACCAAATCCCATATCATATGAGAAAAACTGATTTGACAATACACATTCTGAATGAGCACCAATGTATATGTATTTAGTATGATCATATTTTGACAATTCATCCGCCAAATTGTCAACAAAAAAGATCGAGTCGTCATCTCCCATAATGTACCATCGTACCCCTTCTTTCTCTTCCCTAAAAACCTCGATCACTGCATGCACCATCCGCACCATGAGTGCTGAAACATGCTTTGATTCTTTCAATAACTTTGTATTATCATCAGAAATACGAAAAGGAGGATAAGTTCCTGCCCATGGTAAAAGATCTTCTGTGGGGGCCCTATCAAGGTAGAAGTAGCCACGGGTAATGTTTGGGCGCCACCATGACTCGATGAAGGGTTTTCGATAGTGCCATGTCTTGACAGATCCTAGAATTCCAAAAACAAGGTGGGAAACATTAGTGGTGTCCTGTGGCACTGAGGATTGGCGAGTTGTGACATGAAAGAAGTTAGCCCGGAGAGAATTAGGTTGGTTTGAGAAAGAGAAAATGACAATGGAGATGAGCAGAGACGCACAAACTGCAAGCGTTTTCCAAATCGTTATTGATGAGTGGGTGTAGATAGAAGATATCATAGCTAACGGTAGAGCGAGATGGTTGAAAGATTGAACCTAAGATTGGAGCTTTTGAAGACTCGAATCACGCAATATACCTTTAAATATGTAAAGAGTAGATTTCATGCTACTTATTTTAAAAAGCTTAAAATCTTTTTCTTTTGAGTGTAGTAGTTGCCATAATCAAAATTGAAACCATTGCAACAATTGCATGAATCAATTGTGGTCAAATCCAAAAATAGCAACTTTTATGCACCATATAAAAAACTGATCTCACAATCATCATCTATCTCATGCATCTATCTCATGGGAATTCATAGCTGCGTCATGTTTTTCTTAATAATATAATGTATGATCGGCATGTAATGAAGTAAAAAAGGATCATTGAAGCATGTCTTTTGATAGGAATGCATTGCTGATGAATTCAAATATGTAATATCATTTTTTGTAATTATCTCTAGCTCACCGCAATATCGACTCCAAAAATGATCTAATCTCAAGTAAACAACTATAGTGTGTATATATATATATATATATATATATATATATATATATATATATATATATATATATATATATATATATATATATATAGAAAGAGAGAGAGAGAGAGAGAGAGAGAGAGAGAATATTCAAATGTTTCTAGCAACTATTGTGTGCATTAATGCACCAATAGAAATTTAGAAAAAAATAAATCATTAAATAAATCATTTAAAGATATTATTGTAAAATTTGCATAGTTAATTATGGTAGATAATTAATATTATTGATATCAAGCAAGAACTAAAGATAAATTTAGAACATTAGCCGTACATAGAACTCGCCATCCTTTCTGATCCACCGCTTCTGCTTCTTCTTCTACAATCAATCATCAAAAATCAAACCCTAAATCACGAAAGTCCTCATAACCACCGTTTTCTCCAAATACGCACATACACCCTCATCTACCAAATCTGGGATTTCGTCTCCGTCAATACCATCAGACGTAGCCACTGACGAAACCATCCTCCGTCCTCATAGCCACCGCCACCGACTTATTATTTCCTCATAGCCACCGGCCAACAACACATCAAAACCAAGGGATGTGCTTGTTTTTTAGAGTGAATCGAGGAAAAAAACCATCGCCTAATTCTAATTTCTAAAGAAAATAGAAAACGGGGGATTAGAGACGTTGCCGATCACACAAAAATCAAGAATCATATACCCTCTCTTCTAATAAATTAAGAATCACATCTCCACTTTTCCTTTGATAAAATCACTGCCAACTAGTCAAAGGTGAGTTATATTTTGTTTTCCCTTCAACGCGTCTCAATTGTTTATTGGTTTATCCCAATTCCAATATATGTGATATAAATTTATTTGAGTTTTTCTGTGTGCACAAAAGGAATACTAGGTATTTACTGTTAAAAGATCTTTAATTGGGTATCACGAGTAATACACCCACACCTCCCTTTTGATTTACACATGTAACATTCTTAAATTTTGGTATACAAGATTATTAAATGATCGAATCTAATTGGGAAAATATGTAATGTCAAATGATATTGATCATCAATGATTTTTTTTGTTTGACTAATTGTAAGTAATATATTTTAATGACCTTTCATGAGCAACTAAGGTGATTAGGAGCATCTGGAGCAAAGCGGTATGCATTGATTATAATTTCGAATTAAGTATTTGGATACATTATATGAAATCATTTTTGTATTATGGAATCCAAAATAGATTCATGATGTTTATATACTAATGAGTATTGACTATATTGTTATTACAAAGAGAATTATGGTTAAAAAATTCTGAATTTGATGAATATCGATTATGTGGCATATATGTGGTGGCTAGTTGTATGACAATATGTTAAACTTGTACTTTGATTCATTCATTAACTTACCCAACAAATATAGTGTTACACGTTGTCACTGTTACTGTTAATTTCTTGTTAAGAATCTTCACAACCATTCTGAGAGAATATTTACAGAATCATTCTTGCAGAATATTTACAGAATCAATCATTTTTGCAGGATATTTAGAGAATGCAGAATGTTTATAGAACATACAATCACATACAAGAGATGGTGAGCCTCGGTGAACATAATTCTCACAGAATATTATTCTTATATAATTTGATTTTCATGGCAGATATTCTCATAGAATGCAAGATTTCATGGCAGTTATTCTCATAAAATCTTAGTTAATTATTTATATGTTTAATTTGTAGTTGTTACATATGTATCACCACAAAATATTTGGCAATGCATTTGTGAGGAATGGCTTGAAGAATGGCTTCAAGACCTGATAGGTATGACTTGAACAATGAATCAAAGATTGATCACACTTAGAGTTTAAGAATATTGTTATTTTTTAAGAATTACATTTTTTATTCTTTGAGAATGTTATTATTCAAGAATGTTTTTTTTTGTATCACAATAATACAATGTAATTATTTGATGTACTATTAGATCAACAATCGATTTTGTGTATTATTTCATAATGTATTTATTCATGTTTTCTTTTTATATATGTTTTCTTAAATGATGTTATAAACTATCATTCTAACAGAATGTCACAGAACTTCATTTTGTTAATGTCAATTTTATGTATTCTTTCAGAATGTATTTACAAGTTTATGGTTGGCATTCTGTCATTCTGACAGAATAAAATCGAAAAATATATTTACTAGTTTATGGGTGGCATTCTATCATTTTGACAGAATAAAATCAGATTTTTAGATTTGAATTAATTTAAAATATTCATATTTTTAAAAATAAAGGAATTAATTATCCCAAAAAATCCGAAAATTTCCTTTTTTAATATAGGTTAATTGAATAAAATGCCCTTATGCTGAAATTTGTGTGATTATATGGTACATGTTATTATATTCTAATATCATAGACCCTCAGATCATGAACTTTGATTGTATTCCTTCCGGTGGTCCAGATCTGTGTATTCTAATACACAATAGTTAGTAAAAACAAAATAACTTAAGCATATATATATATATATATATATATTATATATATATATATATATATATATATATATATAAAAGTTCAATAGAGAATCATCATTATTTAAAAAACCAAAAAACCAATTTAAAGCGTTGAAATTTTAAGCGATCAACGAAAAGAAAATAAAAAAAAGGTTGTATACTTTTACAATGGACGTACATACATCGGATTATAATAAAACTCACTTTCTTTTTTTCGGTTATTTTTTTAGGTCATGTTTTTTTTATCGAAAAAAAAATCGAATATATCATTGTTCATCATTTTTCTTCCTCTTTCCATAGAGATTCATAGTAATATACAAAAATGATTTTTTTTCAAAAAAAAATCACTTCACTTCTTTGTTTTTTTAAAAAAGTTAAGGTCTATTTTTTATCGAAAAAAATTTAATAAATATATCAAAACTCATGTTTTTTGGTACTCTTCAAACATAGATTTATATTGTTGTAAAAATAATAATAATAAGTAAAATAAATAAATTTAGTATATATTTACATTGTGAATCTGATCAGATTCACAATGTCAATCTTAGCATATTCACAATGTGAACAATAATAAGTCAGATTCACATTATAAATGTTAAAATTGAAATATTTATAGATCATATTTATACTGTAAATCTGAACTAATCGGGATTTTTTTAATCGATGTTGATGTTAACTAATATAAAAAAAATTCAAAATTTTGGTATAATAAGTTTTTTTTTGAATAAAAATAAACTAAAATATTGAAAAAAAAAACAAACAAACGAAGTGAGTTTTTTTTCGAAAAAAAAGTTTTTTTTATATATATCAATATCGTGAACAATGGTATATTTGGTTTTTTCCGATAAAAGACGTAGCTTAAAAAATTGAAATGGAAAAAAAGAGGTGGGTGTTTTTGGTAAAGATGTGGGTTTTATGGTATAATACGGTGTATTTGTGTCCAATGTACAAGTGTACATTCATTTCCTTGGCTGTTGATCACTTTAAATTTCGACGCTCACGATTGTTTTCTTTCGTTCATTGTTAATAATAATTGTCTATTGAACCTCACCATATATATATATATATATATATATATATATATATATATATATATATATAATATATATATAGGGTGAGGTTCAATAGAGAACCATAATTAACGAAGGAACCAATGAACCAATCATGAGCGTCGGAAATCATAACGATCAATGGCCAAGGAAATAGATGTACACTTTGACATTAGACGTAAACACACCAGATTATACCAAAAAAATCCACAATTTACAAAAAACCCACCACTTTTTTTCGTTTAAAATTTTTTTTAGGCCATGTTGTTTATAAAAAAAAAAACCGAATATACCATTGTTCATGATTTTTCGTCCTCTTTCCATAGAGATCCATGATGATATATAAAAAACGAATTTTTTTTTTTGAAAAAAACTCACTTTATTTTCTTTGATGAAAAAAGTTAAGGTTTATTTTTTATAGAAAAAAATTAATAAATATATCAAAATTTATATTTTTTGTAATTTTTAAACATAGATTCATATTCATGTTAAAAAAAACTATATTTCAGTTCAAATTCACATTGTGAACCTCCTCAGATTCAGAATGTGCATAATAATAAGTCAGATTCACAGTGTGAATCTAATTCTTTTTCACATTGTGAATGTTAAATTTTGAAATATTTACTGTTTAGATTTACAGTGTGAATCTACACTGATCGAGGTTTTTTTTTTTTTTTTTTTTTTTTGTGAACCTTCTCAGATTCACAGTGTGCATAATAGTAATTCAGATTCACAATGTGAATCTGAACTGTTCGAGATTTTTCATATTGTGAATGTTAAAAATTGAAATATTTACAGTTTAGATTCACAGTGTGAATCTACACTGTTCGAGGTTTTTTTTAATCGGTTTTAATGTTTATTAATAGAGTACAAAAAATTAATATTTTTGGTATCATTAGTTTTTTTTTATAAAAATAAACTTAAATATTGAAGAAACTAGGAAAATTAAGTGAATTTTTTTCGAAAAAAAAAGTTCGTTTTTTATATATTATCATGGATCTCTATAAAAAGAGGACGAAAAATCGTGAACAACGGTATATTCGTTTTTTTTTTTTTGATAAAAAACTTGGTCTAAAAAAAATTTAAACGAAAAAAAGGAAGTGCTTTTGTTATAATCTGGTAAATGTGCGTCCATTATAAAAGTTTACAACCCTTCATTTTGCCGTTGATCGCTTTAAATTCCGACGCTTTGGATTGTTTTCTTGTTCCTTGATTATTCTCTATTGAACTTTTCTATATATATATATATATATATATATATATATATATATATATATATATATATAATATATATATATATATATATAGACACACACACACACACAAAGATCAAATAAGAAGGAAAATTTTGGTAGGAAGGTAAGAAATTTTGTATATACATATTTTTTTTAGCAAACAAACGAAATAAAACATTAGATAATTCACATGAAAAATTTTCAAAAAAAGACCTTCATGATTAATTTTTAAGTAAATCAAGAAAAAAAATTCATTTTTATAACAATTTTTGTGAATACCAACAAAATCATCGTAAAAATGTATCATCAAAATGTTTTTTCTGGAATTTTTGTTTGTGAGTCATGTTATTTTTGATTTATCTACTGCTTTATTTGTTTTGTACGCCAAAAAAAATGCCGAAAAAAACTGTTTACCTTCCTACCAAAAAAATTTATTTCCGTGTTTATATATATATATATATATATATACGGTACTCTATGTAGCTACCCTATTTATAGGGTACAACAGACGCACAAAAAATAGTTAGGACTAATCATTTCAGTATCGAACGAACATGTCTTGCTAATAGATAGTGTGTTGATACCAGACTTACATTCAACACTTTACAGATACAAAATACATTCGACTCCTCACTAAAGACATTATACCCTTATAATATCCCATTAGTGTGAGTAGTCGAAAATCATGCTATTAACTGCATTGACTGTAGAAGCACCCTTTGAACTTCCATGTACCAGATAATAATCTTTCTAATCTCCGCCTTGTCTTCAACATCATTCTTGTTGCAGTTATTGATGTGAATCAAGATGTTAGTAAAATGGGAATCTGTATATCTTTCAAGATTAGTGATTTGAAATAAAACATCGCTAAATTCCCCCTCTTCTTCTTTACCTGAAAAACCACACCATAAGGTTGATGGATAATTTCACTGTTCTCAGGGATTTTCGACATATCCACATTGATTAGGATCTTGGTTATGGAAATATGATCATTCAGGTTCATCAATAGAAAGTCAGAAATTGTGAATTTGAATTCCACATTATTAGCTCTCACAAATGAATATCAAAAGTTTTGAAGAAAACCCTCAAACAAGGTATCCCTTTCAATTTTCATCATTTTCACTATTTTCACCAACGACCACACATCATCTTCATTCTTCGCCAAGATAGCATGAAACGAATCTTCATGTTTTTGTATTCATTTTTATCTTTGAATTTATCTGCTACTTTGAACTGTGGAGATGTGAACATCATTTGATTGATAGGAAAATCGAGTTGATTGAAGCCTGAATTCTCAGTTTCAAATCTCTTCTTTGTCCGTTTAAGAAATTATTTATTCTTACCAACACTGCGATTTCAATCACTTCGTAACACCAATGATTGTTCAGTTCATCTTTGTTTAGGCCTGGTGGATCATTCTCCCTTTGATGAAGAATATTATTGATTTTCCTTTGTCGTTCTAATTCAGTTGCTTGTTGCTTCTTCTTTTCTTCATCTGATCGTTCAATAAGAATGACTTTGCCTTTCTCTTTTGGACCAATCGATGAATGTGTTTTGACAAGAGCTCTATTTGAACCTCCTTCTCGATGGAGCTTTTGGCACATTTGCTGTTGAAGAGGTTGTTGTAGTTGAAGACACCTTTATAGTCTTTATGGGAATTGAAGTTGGAATTTGATTCCAAATTACTTTCCTAGCAACTACCCCTTTCTCATTATCAGAGTCTATTGATGATCCATCTCCTCTAACTCCTCTTTCTCCCCTTCCGAGGCTTGCACGGTACATAGAGCATTGGTTGGTAAACGAAGTAACAATTCAACGATTGGAGCGAGCTCATTTTAATGAACGAATCAATGTTCAAAACCATTTGTGATAGAGATTCTGGAGAGGTGGTTGATAGTTTGGTAAGATCAACCTCTCACAAGGTTTCCTTAATACCAAACATGAATTCCTCCAGCTTTTCAAACACCATTGTATCCTTCTCTAACTTGGCTTGAAACTGTTTTGGGTACTTAGTATTGAACTCAACCAATCGAGTAATTTCAACAGCAAGAACATCAACCTTACCATGCAAATCTTTGTAATTTTCTTCCATATTTTTGACTTTTTCTATCATCACGGATTTTATCTCAGCAACCTTGACACCAAGAGACTCCTTCATTTCATTGGCCTTCTTCATAAAAAGTGCATGTCGTGCCTTTGCATCATCATGAAGTATCTGAATTTCATAATCAAAGCTCTTGGAATGAAAAGCTAGTCTTTCTGCTTGTTTCATCTCAATTTCCTCAATCAAGTTTCACAAACAACAGTCTTGAGCTTTCAACAAGTATTCCATTTCAACTCCAGTCACATAGTTCTTTCGTCTAATATCTATTGTGACTTGAAGAAGAGAATTAATTTTGGAGTTGAGGATCTTGAGTTCCTTACCGGACATGATGTGACAACCGTCAAATTCAAGTCAAAGTCAAAGTTAAAGTCAACAAGTCAAACCGGTCAACCTCAACTAGTACTTGTATGTTAAGACTTATTCTATGTATAAAAATGTGCATTTGTATGTCAAGAATCCAAGTGTCTCGGAGAATTTATGTGTCTAGCAATGTAAAAACCCTGAAAAGGGAGTTAAATGCATCAAAACACGACTATGGACCCTTTTGGGGACTTGAAATGATCATAAACGAAGCATAACGGGGTCCACGAACCTTGCTTTACGAGATTATACAATAATAATGACTAAAATGAAATCTCTCCCAAATCTCTCCAAGTATGTGAAATCTCTCCCAAATCTCTCCAAGTATATGAAATCTCTCCCGAATCTCTCCAAGTATGTGAAATCTCTCCCACATCTCTCCAAGTATGTGAAATCTCTCCCAAATCTCTCCAAGTATGTGAAATCTCTCACAAATCTCTATCAACTTTTTATAGTTATCCGAGTCATCCCGACCCTCAAATTGGCCAAAAACCGCTTGAAACGGAGAGTTATATCAAAAAACAGCTAAATAGGACCGAACCCCCTCTTAGGAACCGAACCTCTTAGGAACCGAACCCTTCTATTAGGGCTGAACCTGTTAGAACCGAAGATGTCAGAAGCGAACCGGACTGCTCGGACCGAACCTCAGTAGACCGAAATGGACCGAACCTTAGTAGACCGAAATAAACTGAGCCCTCGGTCTATTTCGCTTCCCTTACCACTTCAAACCGAGACCCCCACCTTCGGACCCTTCTCCTTTCTCTCGGTTCCTTCCCTACCTTCGGTCCTCAGCACCTCCAAGAGCTGAACCTCGCAGGTTCGCTCCTTAAGCCCGTTTTTCGACTACTTTCGCTTCCTAAGCCCGTTTTTGACGGGGATTTTTCACAAAATTCATATTTTTACCATTTTAAACCCCCAAAACTCATATTTTATTTATTTCTCAAGGATTTATTAATTATAAATCATTTTTTTATATTAAAAAGAATATTGTACCCCACAAGTGGGTCAAGTGTGCCCACTTGTCTCCATGTGTCACCATTTCATTAGCCCAATCTTATCCACATCACACAAACGAAGGTAAACATCACTTCAACTTGCAAATTGCTCCAGCAACCTTCACTATATAAAGAAATGCCTGGAGGATTTCTTGGCTTACTTGATCATTTCAAACACTTACACTTCTCAAACCACCAAAAAGAGCCTCATTTTCTCTCTACTTCCCACCACTTTGTGAAAGTGTTCTTGAGACATTACTCCACTTTTTGGTAAGTATTTCATCTAAACTCAAGTGTTATTCCATATCTTCATAACACTCTTCGATCATCTACACACATTTTAACACCAAAAATCGTTCTTAGGATCATCCAAGCCTTCACGTGTTCATCAAGTGTTCTTGACTTGATACTCCTTGTCTCCAACCTTCCACTCTTCAAGAAATCACTCAAGGTGAGTTCATACCCCTACATTTTCCAGTTTTCTTTAGTTTTCAGGGGGGGGGGGGGATACAAGTTAAAACACCAAAACATATTTAAAACTTAACTTGATAGCTTACAACAGAAAAGTTATGACCTGTTCACGAACTGTTTTACCTAACTTAAACTTAATATTTTTCAAAACTGTTTAATATGCAAATTAGTCAGGTTTATACCTTTAAAATGACTACCTGCACAACTCCATATGATATTTCTACAATTTATGGTGATTTTTACAAACTGCCTATCACTGCAACAACAAAATCGGACCAGGTTGTGAAGGTGAACATTTTCACCCTGGTTTGAGACCACCAAAAATTATAGGAAAATTTATGAACACAGTAGACTCTTTTTTCAAACTCTCAGAGTTTACGGATTTAATTTTTGACTTACAATGTTTTTCTATAAATATTCTAAAAACAGTGACAGTTAAGGGTAAAAACTGTCAAAACAAGTTTAAGAGTTATTCACACCTTGTAACATGCTGAGCAAGGTGTGTAGGATTTACACTTAGTATTTTCAAATGTCTTTTTTATTGAAAAAAAAGTCATGCATAATCAGTTTTCATTAAATATAAAACACTCTTGATAAACTATAATAGGTATAGTTTGAACACTCCGTTTTACAAAGAAACACTAACACAATCGATTTACAAAACGGGTACTTTCTTACAAATTATGTGAACTTGTTAATGAATAAACTTGTGAGTCATTCTCCTTCAAGGTACTATTAAGTACCACAGAAAAGTCCTGTAGTTATAATCAGAATCTCTTGGAGGGAGAGCGTGATAGTTGTGTATAGATCTATATTGGGTCTGACAAACCCGCACCTAAGCTGCTTGCAACAGCTAGACCGGCAGGTCTGGGGTGACAAGTGTCATAACATTCCGACGCCTGAAGAACGTCGAGTACGAGGTTTTCGAGTTTTAGCATGGTTATAACAACTCACATGGGGAATTAACAAAACACACAGTTCACGGGGATTTAAAGAGTTTTATTGATGTATAAAACCACACACATAAGTATGATGATTTACTTACATATACTAAGTCTTGGTTCCGATAAGACTACAATAAACCTTTTAGAAAATATTGGATTTTCTGGAAACAAACTTTAAGGAACAAAATCCATTTTTCATTCATAAACTGCTTATGAACTCACCAGCTTTATGCTGATACTCCTTCAAAACAACTTGTATCCTCAAGTAATCAGTAATACAGGTAATCACAAGATTTCTGAAGTCAAGACGCTAAGGTGTAGATTCTTTTGCTATATTTTGACATCATATGTAATTTATTTGGAAACATGTACTTTTGAAATGGTGTAACCTTTTAAATTATATTTATGATGGTTGTGTTTACTTTCTTCACTATGGTTATGATATTGAGCATGACGTCCTACGCCCCCGAACGTTTCCGCCGTGCCGGTTTGGGGGTGTGACAGATTGGTATCAGAGCTCCGTTTATAGTGAACTAAGTATATCGAACCACGTAAGATATACAAACTATAAATACAACGGGACAAAAAAAAATTCTCTGACGTAGCTTTTCAAAAATACTTTAAAAATAGAAATTAGTATTTTTATAAAAGTATTCATACAATCGCACTCATTAAATTCAGTATCATAATGGCAATAACATAAAAGTATTGAGACCAGTTGGACATCATGACTCAGCTTTGGGGTATGTAGTCAGATCTCGGATGAATATAGCCTGATCAACTATATTTAGCCAAGGTAGGACCAATGTATGTCGAAGAAGGATCATGATGAGCAACAAGTATGCAACTTACCAAAGATTTCAAGAATTAAACATAAAAATATAGGGGTATTTTAACACAAAAAGTCGTAATAATCACAAACTGCGATAACTAACTTCTTATTCCCAAAGTTTCTCGCGACATTCCTCCTTATCCCTATTCTCGTACAGGCACGATGGCATGATTTCATTTGCCGGGTGATCCCTACTTCCCCAACCAAGGGAATGCCGGCTGGATTGTGGAAGACCCAGAGGAAGATCCCGAAGAGGAACCCATGGAAGATTAGGAACCCATGGAAGAAGAGGAATCAGTAGACGGTGAAGAAGAAGAAGAAGACTCAGATGGAACCGACTCGGAACCCGAAGTTTACAATCCACACCCTGCCCCTATTCCTCCGCAACACTTCCAGGGCCCGACGCCCCAATGGGCCGAAACTATACATCGATGGAGCCGAGAGCAAGGTCAACGTCCTCCCTATGGCATGGAACGAAGTTTTTACGACCTCAGCAGAGGAAGATCAACCGACCGAGCCCTTCCTATCATAGTTCACTGTGTCGCACGCCACGAGGAGCAAACAAGAGTGAACCTCCGCCACTTCATGGAAATTGGTGCCACCAGCCAAGTCAACTCCGTTTGCATTCGTCGGTTGGATGATGACCACAATCAGACTCGAGACCGCACCGAGCTTCTTCGACGGGATATGGCTACGACCCGAGCTGAGGTACAAGAGCTTCGAGAACACCGAGCCACTTTTGAAGGACGTCTGACAGAAGTAGAGCGCCAAGCGGCAGAATCCAGAGCTGAAATGAGGGAAACAAGGAACTTCGTGTCTTCACTTCGTGATCCTCAGAGCTTCAACCGCCGCAAGTAGTGTTGCACTGCTCGCTTCAGTTTAATCTAGTTTGCGGATAAATACTACTATTATTTCCTAGTATTTTATGTCCGATCTCGCGACTTAAGTGTTTACACTTCCGAGATCAGTTAGGCGGTCAAAAGTTTCCCATACATTGATGTAGCATAGACCCTTTGTAGGGTCAAATTTTCCCCAATATTGTACACTAAGTTATATCAATGAAATTGACACGCTATTTGCCTTATGACATCAAGTTCATGGCAAGAATTGTTTTCAGATTAAATTTACTGGTGTCCGATTTATGATTGTTTGATGTATAAATCAGAGTTATGTATAATTAAGACCATGTCGACCTAGAAATGGTGGTTCCGCCTTAGATCATGTTCCTTGTTTGGTTGTGGTCCCAGGGCAAACCCATTAGATTCGAAAGTTTACTTAAAGCTTAATTATATATAAATATTATACATCGAACGATTGTTGGATGGGCCCGGTATGGATACTATCACAGACATTTCTTGGGAATCGAAGCTACTAGCATTCATAAAGTCTATATTTCATTATCTATAGGCCTCTAGTATGAATAGATTTATACAATATCTTTACAAGTCGGAATCATGGTGCACATAATGAACTAATAATGTTTAGTTTTAACTCTCGACTTGTAAGTATCATCAAAGACTTATCGTCTTTTCATTTTAATATGGCAGAAAATGCCACATCGTAGAA